GAACCCTTAACCCTAAACCCCAAACTCATACAGACCCTATAAGCCCTAAATCCCTAAACCCTAGAAACCCTATGAACCCTAAACCCCTAAACCCTATTAGCCCCATAAACCCTATAAGCCCTAAACTCTATAAACCCTAAACCCTATAAATCTATAAACTATAAACCCTAAACCCTATAAACCTATAAACCCCAAACCCTATAAACCCCAAACCCTATAAACCCCAAACCCTATAAACCCCAAACCCTATAGACCCTAAACCCCATAAACCTATAAACCCTATAAACCCCAAACCCTATAAACCCCAAACCCTATAAACCCCAAACCCTATAAACCCCAAACCCTATAGACCCTAAACCCCATAAACCTATAAACCCTATAAACCTATAAACCCTATAAACCCCAAACCCTATAAACCCCAAACCCTGTAAACCCCAAACCCTATAAACCCCAAACCCCATAAACCTATAAACCCTATAAACCTATAAACCCTATAAACCCCAAACCCTATAAACCCCAAACCCTATAAACCCCAAACCCCATAAACCTATAAACCCTATAAACCCTATATACCCTATAAACCCGACGGCAGCCGTGAGGGTTCAGATTTGTTGTACTCAGACTCAGGGTTTCTGGTGTCCTGAAGAGTAGATTGTAATGAGGGTTCAGGGTTTTGGGGTTATGGGTTCAGGGTTTTGGGGTTTTAGGGTTCAGGGTTTTGGGGTTTTGGGTTTAGGGTTCAGGGCTTTAGGGTTCAGGGTTTAGAGCGTATTTTCTACAGTTGCAGAATGGGTACTGAGGACCCTTCGGGCTTATAGGACAATGTAGAGGGGCAATAATATCACGAAATCTAGCTGACCTTACACGGACGTACGGAGTCTCGTGGCCCTTCGCAGTCCGGTAGTAGGCTATAACTCTATGAGAATAGGGTCGCGCAAAGTCAAATTCGATACCGATATTGGCCATGGTGGTGTGGGTTAGGGGTTAGGGTTGTGGCTTTAAGCGCAGTTTTGGAACAGTGTGTTGGGTCAGTTCTTGTTCTCAATGTCAGAGCTCCCGGTGAACCAAACTTTGGACGCCAAAAGTCCGCTACCCAGAGAACCCATGCAATACCCCTTAATTAAGGAATATACCTCAAATCACAATATTAAGGCCCTTACAATTTAAGGTATGTTCCTTAATTAAGGGGTATTGGATTCTCTGGGTACCTGAAGATTGACCGAGAGCGGCGACTCTCTGCAGAACAGAACCCGGCACACGCCCGTCAAGCGGAGACATGTTGCTGGGACTTGAAAAGGGGTCCGCATCACCCCAGAGCCTAACGCAGAAGCCCGGATGATTCTTTAGGCTCCTTGTCATAGGTCTACCAGAATCTGCCCAATGATTCCTCAACTTATATTAGATAAGCATCCCATATTGCAGTGACGCCCGAAAGCCTTGGTTCAGGGTTGACTGCTGATTCAGGGCAGAACCTGCAGCGGCTCGTTTTCGTTTCTTACTGCGACTTTTGCCGTGTCTATGGCATCGTTTGGAAAAGATAGACCCAGAGAACCCAACACCCCTTAATTAAGGAATTACCTTTAAAAACATAATAGTATTAAGGCCCTTATAATGCAAGGTATATTCCTTAATTCAGGGGTATTGGGTTCTCTGGGGAGCGAAGAGTCAGAGGTGGGACCCACAAGATGTGCTTTCCGCTGCAGCTGTCCATCTAGGTTCAGCCTTACCGGGGGGCCGGCGCGTGCTTGAAGGATCATGAGACTTCACAAGTTGATTACATTCGGGGCTTACCGGAGGTTATCGAAGTCGTAGTTTTTTCAGCTTTGATCCCTGCACCCTAAACCGTTTACCCTTGTGTAGAACCCCGATTGGAGCCCCTGAAAAAACCTTGCTGAACCCCTCACGGTCCCGTTGCTAGAACCCCTAGGCCCTATAAACTTAACATCGAAGTCGTTCATGGAACCCTAAACCCTAAACCCCTGAATGGAACTCCGTCTTGCTTTTGCCCTTCTCAGCTTGCCTGTCTGCTCGGCGCACTGGTGCGAGACACGCCAGGGGGACAGCCGGATGGGCCCTCACTGCTTTCCCAGACCTTTCACAGTATGGCATAGAATAATGTCATATACTGCGCGAAAGTAGACTCTAGTAAATAATGTAGCATCGTAGAGGAAAGAACCAGTTTTCCTTGTTGCCGTAGGTTGCAGAGCTAAAGCACGAAGATCCACAGCTCACAGGCTTAGCTTGGATTCGTCCTCTGGGAACGCCAGACAGTGGCCAGGGTGGATAGGTTTTAGTTTCATGTCCGCTCCACCAGTATCACCCTGCACCCCTCAGGCAACGCTTGCCATCAAAGGCCATGACGCATCTTCGCATCACCAGTGCTTTCAATCCAGTCCTCCCTACCAGGCATGGTATGTTCTCCTCCCAGGTGATCTGCATGATACAATCAGCGGGGATGCCCGTGACACCATGCTTCTGATACCTTCTCATTACTTACTGCAGCTTCTTCATGATCTTTCGCTGTTGTCGCGTAGTGTTTCGGCGTCTGGCCATAGCTGAGCGTCCCAAGTGCCTGAACCCTCCGCCCGAAGCCAGAAGCCAAGGGCCGGTAGAACTCCACACCCCTGGTAGTTTGTAGTGCGGCTCCACTTGCTACTGTAGAGTACTGCAGATATTTTGTTACATTATGTAGAGTTGGCTTCGGGGCTAAGATGTCTGGGTGAGCTTAGGATGTGGTCTATGTTGTTAGCAGGGAGTTGGAAGATGGTTCGGTGCAGGCTCCTCTCATAGGGCCCGATTACAAACCCTACAAACTCTATACACCCTATAAGCCCAATAGACCCTATAAGTTCTATGCGCCTTGTAAACCCAATAAACCCTAGAAGCCCTATAAAACCCACAAGCCCTAAGCCCTGAAGGACAGGCACAGCCTGTGGTGTGCGTCAGCGGTCGGCAATATTCCCGTCGTGCGGCAGCTTATACAAGAGGGCGCCGGCCTGGACGTGCCTGTCTCTCCCTTGGTACCGCTTTAAGGGTTTAGGTGTTTAGGGTTTTTGGGTTTAGGGTTTCGGGTTCAGGCTTTTTCTGTTTAAGAGTTTAGGGTTTAAGTTTAGGGTTCAGGAGTTAGGGTTTAGGGTTTACATGTTCAGCGCATGTTTCAATCGTTGGAGTTCACCCTGAGCCCGAAATGTTGAAACCTTACCCTAAGGGTCCATGTACCCAAATAGTATATATTTTCACCCCAAAGTACCCATATAGGGACTACTTTAAGACCAAAGTATATACTACTTGGGTACAAGGACCCTTAGGGTTAGACTCTCGCCCTCTGAGTTACCATGTCCATCCCTGGGGGCTACTTTCAGCCCCAGCCCAGCAACTCTAATGTTTCAACCCTATAAACCCTAAGCTCTGCACGCCAACAACCCTAAGGCCCTAAGGTTTCAACCTGAAGCCCTAAACTCTAAACAGTAACAACTCTAATGATTCAACTTTGAAAACTCGAATGTTTCAACCTAAAACCCTAAACTCTAAACACCACAACGCTAAATTTTCAACCAGAAACCTTAAACTCTAAGCACCAAAACTCTAACGCCTCTAACGCTGCAACCCTTGGACTGTGGGATTGCGGCGATCCGGAGTTGAGGGCCTCGGCGGAGAAGCCGAGGAGGAGGGGATGTCCGGTATTCGTTTACAGTTCGGTTTAGGGTTTAGGGTTTACAGGGGCCTATAGGCCAATGTAAGTCCACCCATAAGGCCTGAGGATAGGCCGTGTGGGTGCCCTAAGTCAATCCGACAATAAAGCCCAAAAATTGCCATTCTGTATCCCCCAACAAAAGCCCTAAACCCCAAGCCAAAAGCCCTAAATCCCGACCCCTGCACTAAGGATGGGGATGTTTGGTACAAGACGCCGCTCATTTACGCTGCTGAGACGGGCCAGATTCAGGTCTTATCGCTCCTCTTGGAGACTCGGCCTCTTGAGTTTAGGGTTGTGGGTTTTGGGTTTAGGGTTTAGGCTTTAGGGTGTTGGGTTGAGGGTTTTGGCTTTTGGGTTTTGGGTTCAGGGTTTAGGCTTTAGGGTGTTGGGTTCAGGGTTTTGGGTTTTGGCTGTAGGGTTTTGGGTTTAGGGTTTTGGGTTCAGGGTTTAGGGTCGAGGGTTTAGGGCTCAGGGTTGTAGTTTCGGGTATATAGCATCTATAGTGTCTATAGGGTCCAGGGTTTAGGGTTCAGGGTGGTAATTTCGGGTTTATGGCGTCTATAGAGCCTAGACGGCCCAGGGTTTAGGGCTCAGGGTTGTAATTTCGGGTTTATATCGTCTATAGATTCTATAGGGTCCAGGGTTTAGGGTTCACGGTTCGGCGTTTAGTGCTGGGGGCCATGCCGCAACCTGACCCTCTCAAAGAGGGCTCCTTCGAAGGTCAGAGTCGAGGCGATCGCGGTGGCTTCCCATCCTTGTGTGAGTTCAGGGCATCAGGGTTTAGGGGTTTAGGGCTTTCAGTGTCGTTTGTGGAAGATGTAGCTGGCCTAGCATACTTACTGTCGTATTTGGCTCAAGAAAAAGATCTTCTGGCTGTTCTGCCTGTAAACATATTCAGGTTTAGAGGTTTTAGGGCTTTAACGTTGAAGTTAAAGGTTTAGGGCTTCAGGGTTTAGGGTTTAGGTTCCCGGGATGGGGGCCGACAGTCACAGAGAGGAGAGTTACAGTTTCGGTTGTCCCTGACCCCAGAATCGTAGTGTGTCGAAGACTGTGCAACTTTGCCATATAAGCCCACTAGAATCACTAGAAACCCTAAACCCTAAACCCTGACAAGAATGCGGGCTATGCAGTAAGGGACTCAAAGACATATGAACTTATTCTACATGCTCCTGCAAGATAAGCCTAAACCCCACGCCTTAAACTTTAACCCTCCCCTCCCCCATGATTCCAAGCCAGACGGCCCTAGCAAGCCCAGGAGAAGAAGGCCCAGATTGACGCGACAGACTGCTGGGGGCGTACGGCGCTGATGTGGGCAGCGTGACAGGGAAGCAGCCACCCCCCACCCTCCCCTGAATCTAACACTTGCAAATCCAACGTGCGGTCGAACGCCTTCTTAGTCCTTTGCATGTGAATCGCGATGCCCAGAAACCTGAAAACTCCGAAAAGCTATGAGCCCAAGGATTTCTGAACCCCAAAACCAAACCCACAAAGCACATGAAGCGCTTAGCCTTAACCCCTGAACATCTAGGCAGCCGGATCTGGACATTTCGACGCCGTCGAGCTGCTGACGCACCACGGTGCGAGCTTCGACCCCTGGGTGCTTGATGACTCTCGCGGAGGTCTGAAGGGTTTGGCGATTTTAAGGGCTTTGTTTTTCGGTTTTGGGGTTAATTACGGTTTAGGGTTTGAGGTCTGGGAAGGGTTCCTTTGTGTGTTCTTGAAATTTTCATAATGTGTCTTACGGGGTTTAGAGGGCTTAGCGGAGGAACCTTATGTTGAATAGCAGCCGGGTATACTGCAGCATACTTTCCAGCGGCTAGAAGGGGTTAATAGCACCATCATTTTCACCATCAACAAGAAGGAACGCCTTGATATTCATGAAGGGGCCTTAATAATAAGAATCGAGTTTTGGGCGTTCCTTATGAAGATCATAGTATAATGGGCCCCCAAACCCTATTCTAATTATTAAAGCCTCTATATTNNGGGGGGGGGGGGGGGGGGGGGCAATTCGTGTTATTTTGCATGTTAAGGTTTTCGATGGGGCTCAGGTTTAGGATTCAAGGATCGAGGGTTCAGGGGTTAAAGTTATACGGCTTACAGGGTCTCCAGTCATGTTTCAGCTCGCTCAGTGCGGGTGCCCACTTGTGCTTAAGAGCTTGCACTGATAAGGGCCCCTAAACCGTAAAACCCCA